AAAAAAGGGCTTCATTTATATAAAGAGATTTCGTTGGATTACTAATGTGATATCCAAAACCTTTTTCAAAACACTTTTTTTCGGCTTATGAGATATATTTGAKTTCAAGATACGAAGCATTTTTAAGTTTGTTTACCATCCAGCAGAGCCTTCCCCAACGAACCTTTGGCTGAATTGATTCGTTAGCAAAGTGATATATCAGCACGCCACTGTTTGTTGTAAATAGGACTCTATCTATCCTTTGTTTAATTTGCAGACGTATATTTTTTTAAAGGGATCTTTTTGATTAAAGTAGAGATGTTGTATAAGTGTCTTGTTTGTTTTAAAGGACAGAGATACTGCCCAAACACTTGTGTCACAAACTAATCTTTCGTTAAACAGGCTGTTACAAGTCCTATCATATTATCATCAAAACAGTCATTAAAATATATTCACCAARCATAACATTTATATATCGACTGAACAGAACAGGATGAATAGCAGTTAAAAAGAAGTAAGTGCTGAGTGTTTTTGAATGAAGAATATAGTTTTGTATATGACTTTAGAATTTTTTTCCTATTCAGATATTTCAACTGTATACGAACAATCTTCGTCAGACGGTTACGTAGAAACTAAGGCTATTACACTAGAACACCTATTCAATATAGAGTATTCAACTTACACGGATGCATCAGTTAACAAAAGTAGCCTGTGTCGGCAAGCAATCTTCAACAAGAGGGGTTCTGTTAATGAGCTATAATGGTGGAAGGTGTCGACGCAGGCGACCAACTTCGCTGTACGATTTCGGTTCCTTTGATGTGTAAAGTCCCTCCTATTCTTTAAACAAACGTTTTTTTGACTTTATCTTTTTAACATATCTGTTTTAGGCTTCTATTAAGAGATGGGAATACAAATGACGGTCCACCCAATCAGGATGCGTTATGCGTCTTTTAATGGTTTTTAAAGATCAGTTACAGACGCTTCAACAACTAGTTTCCTGCTGAYTTTTTATAGGTCAAAACACTTCGGAGAACTTATCTGATTGAAAGAGTCTTTTAAATGTCCTTTTTATTATTGTTGGACTGAAATGTGTAGTGTAATCTTAATCTAG